ATTAACCGCAGTACGCAAGCCCCCTTTTCTGTAGGTGCCCTGTAATCTTAGTCCAAAGTTGCGCGTTCTGCAGACGTTAATAAAGGAACCCTATGCCACCATTTTTTCGGCTTCTTATGTGCATTTCGCACGCCAGTAACTGCTGGCTGCAATAACAGTGAGCGAAGGCAGGAAATCAAAAGCTCACGGTTTCTCACGCATTTATCAGGGCAATACAACACCGGGTACTCCAAAGTTTTGACTAGTAGGTATCGACACATGCTATAAGTATACCAGAATCGGGATTAACACCAGATTTAGGATGTTGTACCAAAAATTGGCTGTGCTGTGCTAGCGGCATCTTTGGTTTGTTGTGGCGATCAAGTGTGATCACATTTCTCAGTCGCAAGACACCTGAATTATAATGCGGTATTTGGGATGGTGGTTGGAGGATCAGATTGTGTTCAAGTAATTTCAGATGCCTCCGGGCTAATCAGATGCATGTTGTTCTTTGCTTGTACATGTTCATTGTTGTTGTTCATTACGTCTCAGTTTACATATAATGACTCATTTGAACATTCTGCGGCAAAATTGATAATGTAATGATTCAGTTACTGCACAACTTGCCAGTCATGAATGTTGCGGCCTAGGCTACCGGCTGTTGAATGCTTGTGGAATGCTGCGTGCGAAGCGTTTGGCCAAGGCGTGGTCAATTATATATTTATGTTGGAGCTAAGGGTCTTGTCACTTTTTAATACATGAATATTGAGAGTGTTGTCTGATTGGCATTTGAATATTCCACATAAGCATTGATATTTTTTGTCCAATGGCGTTGCCACCCGTGAAATGGGTCAACACAGGTCAGGTCAGCACAGGTTTATCAGGTCTGCACAGATTTATCAAGTCGGCACAGCTGTGTGTGCTTTAAGTTGTAAAATTTGTGCAAGCTGGTTAACCGAGGGTCGTGTCTGCCATGGTTTTTCTGTCACTCGTGCCCTTGCTGTAAGAAGACAAAAATATGATCGTTTCATAACTGTTGCAGGTTTTACAACACGCTCCGTTTTTAAGATGATATTACAGGTTACGGAATAGTCTAAATGCATTATTTTGCCTTTAGAGTCGTTTGACTCGCGAAAGATCGCCAAGTTTGGCCACAATCCACCCGAAAGCCTGCGGATTCTTACGGTTTAGATACTGACGGGTTGGCGGGTTGAAAAGTTGCGTTTCTGGCACAGACCCTGTCGCGCACGTCACTGTATTCGGCGACGAAACAGAGAATGTGGCAGTGGTTGCCCTTTGTTTTCCTCAGTTAACAACCCGAGCCCCGTGCGGTGCGACACAAGCGTGATCACCCGCACCTCAGGACTCGGTCTGTCAACCGGCTGGTTGCGGCCGAGTGGCCGGGAATGGCACTTCTGCGTTGGTCTTGCTGGTCCGGTTTGAAACTTCGGCATCGAGGTGATGCCGGCCCGGGCTGACGGACAGGGAAGCGCGTCCAGAGAGGGACGGATCACGAAGAGCAAAGAACATTGCGCTGTCAGGTTGCACAAAAGTATATTAGCGATATTGTTTGTTTGTTTATTTGTTTGAGGCGTTTCGGCCTGTTCAGACGATTTCACGCCTGGATGATGTTATTTCAAATTGGTGTTATTATGTGTGCTCAGAAAAGGATTATTTATTGACATTTACAAAGCTTGAAGCAAACCGGTAAGTCCGAGAAAGTGAAAGGCAATGTTAAGCAGTTCAGGATGGTCATCGCCAAGGACGTTTTTTAAAGAAAACTATACTTTGATTACCACAAAAGGCCTGCATATCTTTGCGGTGCTGTTGATATTTGTACACTTAACAATATGTTTAACCGAAAGTGGATGATCGCACGGCTGACAGTGAGGACGAGGTTGACTTAAATATATGTAACAATGTGAGTGTAGTGTGTCCTTTTCGTAGACGGGCCAGCACCTTCTCCTCCAGTCGGTCTTTACGATGCGTTGATAGCCAAGGGCAATGTCTGGTTTGATATCATGAAGTTGTGTCTGGTAGTATCGGTCCATCGTTGTTGCCAAAAATGTTTTGTCATTGTGCGAATGGAATGTTTTGTAGATGCATGATCAACAGAGATCTCCATGATGTGAGGGTCTGTCAAAGCTTCCTTGGCTAGTTGGTCAGCCCGTTCATGGCCCATGATGCCTGTATGTCCTGGAATCCACAGAAATTTGATATTCATATCCTGTGTGTGTAATATATAATAGAGATTGACGATTTTAACAAGAGGTGGTGTGTGAAGTCTGGGTCAATAAGAGATTGTATAGCTGTCTTTGAATCCGAACAAATCACTATCGTCTCCGTTGTATGGGTGTGTTGTTGAATGTGTTGCCATGCAAGGAAAAGAGCAAATAATTCAGCCAAATATACTGACGTGCCATCTGGTAACCGACAATTTTTATAGTAATGCTCAGTGCAAATAACTGCACATCCGGTGTGGTTATTGGCCTTGGAGCCATTGGTGTAAATAAAGCTGCTATTTTGATTTTTGAAATTAGACGATTAAATGTTTGTTGAACATAACTTGTGAAAATGCGTTTGGGATCATCAAAAAGAAACAAAACTTTCCGAAGGGTCAACTGCCATGGTGGTACTATTAAAGCAGGTGGAACGGAAGAATGCGGTAAAGCAAACTGAAGAGTGGTACAGTAGACAGTGGTTCGAGTGCTATTGTAAGTCCTGAGCGACGTTCTGCCGGTCCTACGTAGTTATGGTGAATGTGAGGTAAGATATGCATGGATTCAAATGCTGGGTGACTGGGATTTTATCGCACTTCTGTTATGTATCTCAATGTGTGTTCCATTCGTCGGAGGGCAAGAGGCATAACATGAGCGTCCACTTCAAGCGCTGAAATCGGGGAAGTACGCAGAGCTCCTTGGGCAACTCGCAAAAACATATTTTGTATGGTGGACAGCGGTTTGAGAGTATGTTGGCTGCCTCCTGCATATACCACGGAGCCATATTCAATGATGGGAAGAACTAAGGGTTTGTATAGACGTAATAACGATTGGCGGTCGGCACCGTATCTTGACCCGGAAATGCATCTAAAGAAATTGAGTTTCTTTAGGCATTTGGAACGAACATGCTCCACGTGCTGTCGCATCGACAATCTTGGGCCAAGTACGATGCCAAGAAATTTGAAAGACGAAACGAAAGGAATGTAATGTTCATCTAATCGGGGCCGAAAATTGGAAGTACCATGAATATTTTTTGTGAAAATCATAACTGCAGATTTGGCAGCGGAGAAACGGAACACGTAACGCTCTGACCACTGCTGCACCTTGTTTAGGGCGGCTTGGAGCCGTGACAGCAAATGGTCATATTCAGCGTCTGAGCACCAGATCACGCTATCATCCGCGAAAAGTGAAGAGCAAATGCCCGCTGGTAATGAGTCAAATAAATCGTTTATCATAAAATTAAAGAGAATTGGTGAGATACGCTCCTTGTGGGAGGCCGTTTTCCAGATGGGGAGTGTCGGAAACGGCTGAACTGCATCTCACACGAAATGGTCTGATGCCGGAAAGAAACCCAATAAGATAATGTTCCAAATGGCCTTTAAACCCTAACTGATGGGGCTTGAAAATTAGTGCAGGTTTAAAGACCATGTCGTAGGCTCGGCTAATATCCAGGAATACGGCAGTTGTGTGGTGTCGATGTTTAAAAGAATGTCTGATGTCAGTTTCAAGTCTGATGACATGGTCTATTGTGCCGATTGTGTCGGAAACCACATTGATTTTTTTTGTAATCAGTCTCGCTCTGCAATCCAGAGAAATTCGCTTCACCAACATCCGCTCAAACAATTTTACTAGACAGATGGTAAGTGCAATGGGACGATAATTTGATGGGTCCTTGGTATCTTTTCCCGGCTTTGGAAGCGGAATAATAATGATGTATTTTCAGGCGTCAGGATATGGCTTGACCACAAATCATTAAAAACTGCCAATATAAAACGAAGCATATCTTCTGAAAGATTACGAAAAAAAGAATAGTGTAACTGATCATGACCTACTGAGGTGCTGCCGGCGATTTTATGGCCTTTTGTAGTTCCAGAAATGAGAATGGTAAATTTAGTCTTGGTGTTATCGGAAGAAGAACAATTAGTATGTAAACGAAAACGGGCTTGCGAAGTTTCCACAAATCCTGGTTGGTAATTTCCGGATGAGCTACACTGAGAGACTTTCAGCAAGAGCATTGGTGATAAGAGGTGTTGCCGAAATGATTTGGTTATTAATGCGTAAAGTGGGCAAGGAAATAGAGGTGCGTTTTCCGGAAAGTGCTCGAACCAGTCCCCATAGCTGGCTTAGAGGAGTAGCAGCAGTGAACTGCTGGATGTATGCTTGCCAAGAATGACGTTTGGCTTTCCTTATAATTCGTCTGGTTCGAGCACGCTCATATTTTCGGGTAAGAAAATGAGGTACATCATAGTGGCGACGAAAGAAGCGGAAAGCACGTTTCCGACGTGCAATAGCGTTCTTAACTTCGTCGTCCGCCATGGTGCTGGGATGCGGCGTGATGGGGTTTTAGTCAGTGGAATTGTCGCGGTCGCTGCAGCATGAATAATATGTGTAATAAGGCCAACACCCTGCTCTGGTGATTCGTAACAGTTTCGGTTCACACAACACAATTCTTGAAATTTGGCCCAGTCTGCTTTTCGTAAATTCCAGCGGGGTATGGATCGCAAAACTTCGTCAGCGGTTGCGTCAAAAGTGGTGTAAAGTTTACTTGGAAAATGGTCGCTGTCGTGTATATCTCCCTCAACAGTCCAATCAAAGTATGCCGCTATTGAGGGAGAGCACAGCGACAGGTCGATGCTGTTCTGTACCAGTGGGTAAGTGGTGATGAGTATTATTGCCTTTGTTTAGCAGGACTAAGTTGTGCGTATCAATAAAATCTTCAACCAAATGTCCTCGGCGATCAACGGCTTGGGTGCCGTTACTCCAAGCTGGACTGTGAGCGTTGAGATCGCCGAGGATGAGAAAAGGTTTTGAAATTGAGCAACGAGTTGGTCAAGTTGCCGTAAGAGCTCCGTATTATTATAATTTGGTGTAATGTATATTGAGCATATTTCGATGGTACGGCCATGCAGTCGAACTGAACATGCAACAGCCTGAAGAGGTGTGTTAAGAGTGAGTGGCGTGTGTTTAATTCTTGACTGATGTACAGCGCCACCCCACCTTGGCGACGCTCACCGTCCGTGGTGTCACAGCGATATAAGGAGTAATTTGATATTATGTTAGTATATATATATATATATATTATATTATATTATATTTGTATTATATAATAATCATACAATATTAGCGATATGGCTCGGTTTCACTACCACACTTGACAGTAGCAAACATCTGCCTAGTTCCGGTAGTCAATATGTCAATAGCGGCCAAACAATGGTCATACTGTCAACCGTTCTGTGACAGGCATGTCACTAATATCATTACCTAACATAAACAGAGCAGCGAAGCTGTGGGGATGCACACATTTCTCACCTGGCGCACAATGCCACACAGAACAGCACTCGTTGGCGCCACCTATTGGTGACCCACACGACTGGGTTTTGACCTCGTGCCGCTAGCACCCTTCCAGCTTGGGAGAGGGGGCACTTCGGAAAGGGTTCCGGACAGCCAACGTCTCCCGGAGCGAAATTCCTGGCTGCGCGCCATGGCGGGAGCGATGGGAGCCGGTCATCCCTCTCACCCCACCCATGCCACGTGCCAATCGGACCCGGGCACTAGCTGCAAAAGTGCGCTGCGCTTGGACGGTGGCGCCGTCATGTCGCCGGCCATATTTGTGCGACCGACCGTATGTATGCATGTTTCATTGCCTGGCTGGATTTGCAAGTGTGCTCATTCGTTTGTTTATAAGGTAAAAGGCTGGCGGCCGGTTCTGGTCCAGTCCGTAGATTATCATATCAGCGCGGAGATAGCAGGTTGGCAGATTAAGCTGATTAGCGCTCGTCTTGATATGAGGGAGGAGGTGGAGGTCGAACATCAGTGTGTTTTTAGCAAACGTAGTGAAAACAAAAAATACTAGCTAAGCATGTCAGGCAATGATTCGTTGCACTCATATTTAGAAGACAATGCACGGAAGCACCTGTCACTCCAAGTTTCGTCCCAGCAGCGTGAATCTCATTCGCACATTTTGTGCGGTAGCGTCTCACGTGGGTGACGCATTGAACTTGCATGACCCTGCATTCCACGGATGCCAACCACAGCACGTATCCAGGACCGACGTCACGGGACGGTATGTTTACTGACGTCACGGGACGGTATGTTACAAGGACGGGCTGCAGTTGACATTTGGCTTAGTTCGGACGTCGGCTGCCGTGGGACCCCGTTCTCTGCGCCGCACACCACGGTGCCGGGCAGCCCCGCCCTGCGACGCTTCACCCACGCAGTATGCGGACGAGCGGATAAGCGCTCGGTCGAACGAGTGGCTGGCGCCAGCGGCGCCAGACCAGTCATCGGCGCACGCGGCGCATCGGAGCGTTCCTGACAGTGGTGAGTGCTGAATCAGTGCCCTAGAATTGCCGACTTTGGGCATAAAGCAACACTCTATGAGGAACAATTTTTCACTCCATTTCCCCATATTTTATGTGATTTGTTCACTCCTGCCTGACATTGCCTAATCGCACATGCCAAACCCCTATTTCCCTTTCTGAGGTTTTTAGATGCCATCCAAAACCGAGCTCAATTGAAACCACCAAGCATAAACGAGGCTCCGTAAAACCTGGACACCTATGGCTATATCATGCCTCACCTACATCTGAATCATGTCTATGCATGCACAGAGCAAGGGCGTCTGGTACCTCCAAGCCCAAGAACCCCAGCGACCCCAGCCACTTGCACGCATTAAGTTTGGTTTGTCTACAAAATGCACGACCAAACTGCAGCTGTGCGCCAAATGCAAGGTTTTCACGCGTCCCCTATTTTTTTTTATCTCACCACAACACCACGAAAGCGGAGCCTGGTGTAAACACCAGCAAGGCCAGGTAGAGAATTTTACTCCACGTATTTCTTTTTTCCTGAGGAATTTTGACCACTAGATTGCATCACTCCGGAAATGCATGAGTGAAAAGTTCAAGAAATGTCCTATAAATTAAACTTTCAAAATGAATGTCAGCATTTGAGCACTTGTATTAGCAGGTTTTAAGTCAAATCAGCTGATAACAACATGTTGCGAGAAAAGTACCAGTCTTTATATTTATTTAGCCTACTTTTATTTTTTCTTGGTATCATACCAGTGCCATACCACTTTATTCTTCCTTCTTTTTCGATTGCCTTTTGAGGTACCATCTGCTTCTTAAAATTTTGATCAATTCTCTGCGGGATGCTCTAACAGCAAACTTGTACGTGTTTCATACATAAATTGGATCAATTCGCCAGCCGCCCAACATGTTTGATATGCACCCAAGCGTGAATAATTTGCAGGAATGAAGAAGACAATTTGAAGCACGAAACTTATTTTTGCCGTCATTTTTGCTCCCAAACCTTCGGTTAACCGTGTTCTTGGTTCATGCCGGTGCTCAATAATGGTAAATCCAAGCTTTTCGAGTGTCTGGCCAGGCTACCTGGCAAGGCTATTGGAATGGCACCATGCAGAGCGTTGGGACACACCTGACGCAGCTAATACAGAAGTGCTCGTTGGCGAAATTCTGCCCTCTGGAGATGATTATATGCACAATTCTTACTTCTTTCGCATTTTAATCCGGAAGGCTGGTGGGCATGATTGATATTTGTAGCTGGCGGTGAGTCGGATGACTGTCTGCCAGCAGACCATGCAAAAGGTACTGAGTTTTTGCTTTTGGAGGAGCAGGAATAAGCCAGTAAGTCTCCTGTGGACCAAGTAATTGCTTACCTTGCCTGCTTTCAACACATGATTGGTAACCAGAGTTAGCCATGTTTTTGTTTTAATGCACCGATTTTTGCCATAAAAGAAATTATGATGCCACGAGGCGTGCAATGGGCTTATTTTGTTCCATATTCTTGGTTATTTGCCCAAATGTCTTAATGTGGTCTCTCATGGTGCTTTAACCAGATGTTTTCTGTAGTTGTCATGGTTTGCAAATGACTGTGCTGTGTATATGCACTACATTTTTAACACAGTGACACTCTAAGCTGCATAGCAATTATAATGTGAGTTAAGTATTGGTATGTAACAAAGAGTCAGACCACCCCATTTAAATGTGAAGCCAACATCACCAAACTTTGTCATTAATATGAATAAACAAGCCCAAATGGATGCATTTGCTGCAGCTGAAAAGGCAAGCAGCAATACTGGGATGGTCATCTAAAAGTTGTGTTGTTCTTGGAGAAGACAGATTGTTTTGTGGAGCATGCCTATTATTGCCCTTGACTTCAGCACAAGTGGTGCCTGCTGTCAACAGATTGGTGAGTTGAGATGATGTTCATCATATGGGCTACTCTTAGGTTGAGTTGGTCAAGTGCATGATAAGTGGCAATAGGAATTGTGCAAGAATCAGCAACTCACAACTGCTGCTGTGGTACAAACAGGCTACACAGGATGAGATGATGTAAGGCCTCTTTGGGTTAGGCAGAGGCTACTTTCATGGAAATAAGCAATTGGTATTTTGTAAGAAACAGTGACAAATGTTGTTTTCCCTGACCCCATCTTACAGAAGCCAGAAGTATATTGTGTTTGGCTTGGTGATGGGCTGATGTGTAGGAGTCCAAGGTGTTTTGTTGGAGTGTTTTATGCTTGTTGAATTTTCTGTTGTATTTTGTCATTGAATTCCTTTGCTTTGTTTTGTTTTAAAAGTGCTGCGGGAAGGAAATTGAAAAGTACAACATCTAATTATTGGTGTTAATAATTTGTTATGATCATAATACTGTCATAAAATTACTATGCTTTAACGCGCGCCCGGTTGGCCGGCTAGATACCCTTCACTCGGGTAGGGGGGGGGTCAATTTGGCCCCCTCTGAGATCTGGGAAACTAAGAAAGCTAGAGACACCAAATTTACGGGGTGTCTTGACCTACACGTGAACTCACGTAGGTTCAGGTTTTAGCTTCCTAGGTCATGACCTTCAGGTCGAATAAGGTTAAACAAGGTCAAATTCCAGGTTGGTCTCCAAAGGGCCCCTAGAACTTCGGCAACTGTCTCTAAGCAAAGGGTCACAAGCCCATTTGAGGTCATTGACCTTGTTTGACCTTTTGAAGGTCATGGTGACCAAAATGATACCAGACTGCTCACGTTTTGCATTTGAATAAGCGACAAGGATTACGCTAGGCAATATGGTCCCTAAAACAAAAAGTTCGACCCGGGTCGTCTTAAGGTCAATGGCCTGTTCTGACCTCTGAGAAGTCAACTGAAGATGTATAATGCGGTTTCTGCTGTCAAGAAATGCGAAATGAGCAACAGAAACTATCCCATACAGCAAGCCCCGGAATTATATATCAGGTTGGTTTTGACCCTGGTTCTGACCATCATACCTGACCTTGGGTCAACGAATTTGCTCGGTCAATATTTGTGGTGTCTAAGAAAGCATCTCAGAGATATATGTTCTTCGGTCAAGCACTCCGTCTGCATTAGATTGAACGATTCCCTGGGAATTGCCTTCGCTGAAACCATGGGCTGACTTGACCTGTCGTAGGCCAGCGACCTTGCAAGGTATGTTGTAAAATGTGTAGTCAAGCGATCCGCTATGCAATTTTCTACAGCCATGCAAAATTTGGTGCGGCTACGCCGCGCCGTCCAGAAGCCATTCGCGAATAGCCCTCGGGAGGGGGGGTCAATTTGCCCCCCCAAACCCGGGCGCGTGTTTATGTATTCTGTTTCACTTCAATGGCCTAAGATGTTAAAAAACAAAATAGTTTTGTCAGTTTCCTGATATTACGTCAATGCCAAATTTAAATAGATGTCTTTATTTGCTCACGCATCAGTCACGAGCTCATAAGTTCCATCCTTTGTTAAATGATTTTTTCACTCCCGCACGGTTTTTTTGCGATGTAATTTTTCACTCGCACCCTAGTTTTAAAAGTGATTCTAGCTCCCTGGTGCTGATCGCTGACGGGCCGGTCCGGGGAAATATATATATATATATATATAATATAGTATGTATATATAATATATTATATATAACACATACATAAATTTTGTTTATGACGAGTGGCATGACAGAGAAAAAGCTATCGACCAACACGTACATTCAGATCACTGTACACTGAAGCATGCTAGTCAAGATGCATTCTGCTATTTATGGGCTTGAGAGAGAGGTCAGTAGCCAGAACGGAATCAATGCGACGGGCTGTTGGTACCAGGGTAGGATAATTGTTCGGGCTATCGTTCTCATGTTCCGTATTAGTATGCACATAACATTTCGGCCAGTTCATCCGGCGGCGGCAGGTGTTAATGAGTCGTGAGAAGGACTGGGAGGTGCGTGGCTTTTCAGCCATGCGTGTGCCGCAATCGGATTTATTTCCCCGGAATGGTGAAATTCTAACCGGGGTCCTGCGAGGATTGTGAGCCCAGCGCTTTCCCTTTAAAGTCACGGGCTTAGTGGTACCACCTTCCCCGTGAGCTTCCCCCATACGCCTTACCACCTTCCCCAGTAGCCCAGCGGTAAAGCGCTCGACTTCATGAGAAGACCCCCGGTTCGAATCCCAGCTATTCTAAGAGCAAGTTCGGTTTATGGCGCGTGCATGGCTGACAGCCAAATGCCATTTAGTCCTGAGGGCTCAGTTATGCATGATGACGGCTAGAAAATGAATTGGTCAAAACGTTACGCACACACAAGATATTAGGCAAGGACGATTGCCCCACCCAATTATTCCATCCGAATAACAATGAATGTTTGTGGTTCCATCAGGAAAGCAATGAATATATGTGGTTTCACAGCAGACGGCGTATGCCATCTGAGTAGAAGTGCTTTGGTGGGCGTTTGAAAATGTGCGTCGTATTGCTCTGCTCTGTAAATAGCATGCTCTGATTCGTAAACACAGTCTTGCGCCGAGCTGAGCATCCCAGAAAGCCTTGTTCCCAAAGTCAAATTGCACTTAAAAGGTAAGGGCGCTTAACGTCATAGGCTAAAGACCAGTCATGCTATAACGTTTGGTTGAATTCGCCCGATAACGGCCTAATTCTGCATATGTCTGACTAGAGCGTCTCCGACTCTTTACGTTTTATTGCATATTGCATTGTCTTTTATTGCCTAATAATTTAGGCCAATTTGGGTATTGCGAATATTACATAACGCGCTTGTCAGAAAAGGCAACACAAATTAACTTATTACTTTCATTGCTGTGAGCGGGGGCGCGCGCTGGCATTTTTCCCGTTGGAACGGCTACTTCAAAACAAAATGCTGAGCCATTCAGAAAATTGTGTTAAAACTGATGTTTTGGACTTAGCGCGGGTCCTATGGAGAACGAGTGTGTGTAATGCTACCACGACTTGAGTAGCTTTCGTGCAAAGCCTTAGAGCTGAACTGGAATATGGAAGTTATCATTCTTAAGCTCTGCGTGACATGTTTAGCTCAGTGCTTC